ACTTAAAAATTAAGGTCCCACAGTGGCATTGTGCTTCTCTAATCAAGTTTACCCAGTTCACGGCAGGGCCGTACAAGATAGAGGAGATATTCTAACACGTCAGGTCTCAGTAAGAAGCAGAGGATGATGCATGAGCTGCTGTAGTTGTCAGCCAAGCCTGACCACCTACGTTCAGTACTGGAAACCCATGGTGAAATGAGAGAAGCAGCTCTTGAAAATTGCCTGCTAACCTATACTCATGCAATAGGCCACACCCATACCCACATGCGTATGAACAAAATAAATAACTGTAAAAAATTAAAGGGTTAAAAGGTTATTGGTACAAATCTCAGAAAGTTAGGTATCTCCAAAATAGAGGAATTACTGAATATTGGCGGTTAGTGATTTTTTTTTTGAGGCAGGGTCTCACTGTGTGTCTCTAGCTGTCCTGGAACTATGTAGACCGGGCTGGCCTCAGACTCACAAAGATCCACCTGCCTCTGCCTCCTGAGAGTCGCTGCACCCAGCTAACTGGCTACTATGTAATGGGCTGCAAAGGATCTTGGACTCATAGCCAAAGGAATATAATGAGTGGTGTGGGAGGGACAGAAGCAGAAAGGATGGAAAAAGTAGAAGTTAAACTTTAAAATGTGCCCCTCGCCACTGTAAACTGAGGGGAGCTCCACATGGAGAGGTGCAGCTGAAAGGTCTGGCCCTTGTAAACTTATTTTAGGACTTTATAGTTTCATTTGTCTGGGGTATAAAATTGCATGGCCGTGCCTTCCTTATACTACCTTATAATTAACTTTGTTCCTTGGTTTCACGTGACTTAATAAAACAAAATTGCCTATGGGAGGATGTTATAAATATTCCGAACCATGGAGAGGTCATGTGTCAGGAAACTCAATCCACTCCTCTTTCTTCATGGACTTCAGTTTTAAAAGGGCCACCCTAAAACCATCCCTGACAACAAAAATCAGAGCTGATGTAATGACCCAGACGTGTAAATCTCAGCCTCCCAACTCTCAAGAGGCTGAGTCAGAAGGGCTGTCACAAGTTCAAGAACAGCTTGGGCTACATAGGGAGACCCTATCTTAAAAAGAGAAAAACAACCCCCTCCCCCAAAAAAATGCAGCATAAAATTTGATTCAAAGAATCAGACACCAACACCCTCTTTCCACTAACAGACTAAAGTGTTTAGGCAGCACCCCCTTTCCATTAGCAGACTCAAATGTTTAGGCAGGCTGGAGAAAAGTAGCAATGTGCCCATGCTTGCCTTGGCACTATGTCACTTCTGAGTTACAACCCACATCTGTGATCCTGTCCTTTTAAAGAAATTAAGCTTTATTTATTTATGAGTATCTTGCTTGAAGGTACCACTGTGTGTCATGTGTGTCTGGGGAGGTCTCCTAGAACTCGAGTTATAGACATTTGTGAGCTGCCCTGTGGGAGCTGGGAAGTGAACGTGGGACCATTGTAAGAATAAGTGCTCTTACTCCGATATCTTCAGCCTCAGCCTTTCTAGCCCTCAGCTGCCAGCTCTAAGGGAGCTGTTTCCAGAGGGCAACTGCATCTTGAAGTTTGGGTCAGACTGTTCCAGCATATACCCTTAGAGCCTCGACACAGTCTTACACAGGAGAGCCACATCTCCCCCAGTCTCTCAACAACTTCACTTCCAACGCTCCCCGTGCCCACAACCCCTCAGCCACTGGTCTTGTCAGCCTTATGCAAGAGAGGGCCTAGGGGTATCGGGCTCATTTTTCCCACAGGAATGGGAGTTTCTTTTATAAATAATTTCTCCTGTCTCAAGACTTCTGCTAATCGAGGACAGGTGTAAGTGCCACATACTTGGTATCCTGGCATTCTGGAAGATTCAGCTGGAAGGTCATGGGTTTCAAGCAAGCCTGGGACACACAGTGAGACCCTGTCAGAAGACAACACAACAAACAGAAACCAACAGCAAGAGGTGATGTACCATTAACATTATCTCCAGAAACAGATAGTGTTTTGGGGTAGGCAAGGCTATGCATATGCCGTTTAGACCCGGGAAAGGATGGGCTGGGAGGAAGGAGAATGCTCCAGCTGCAGGCCTTGTGCACCACCCTGCCCACCTCTCTGTTTCCAGGCCGCACCAAGGAGACAAACACAAAAGCCTGGTCTCGTTTTGTAAAGCCATTTTCTCTCATTCCCCATTTCTCCCTTCCACAGTGAGCCAAGCAGAGTTTTGATCCTGGCTTTGGATCTGTCTGTGACTGTCCTGGGAGGCATTGAGAAGGATGATGATGAGGAAACATTGGGCTGAGTGGAGTTTTAGCCTCTAAGGCAGAGGCACAGATGGGAACTGAAGTTGTTCGGAGTGTCCAGCCCAGCTCATTGGAGAAATAAAATGGCCACAGCAAATCCCAGGCTACTGGTCAGGGCTGGCTTTCTTCTAGGGCCACCCTGATAGACTCTTTCCTTATCTTAACCAGCATCCCACCCTCCAAATCCCTGGGGGACACAGAGTTTTTGTTCTGGACAGCGTGGTGAATGATGGCAAGCTGCACTTGAGTCTCTGGGAGTTAATCAGTCTTGCCCTCACAAACTGCTTGTGAAAAGTGCCTGACACTAGACAATGACTCTTACAGCCCCCGCCCATACACATGCTCATCCTCACAATTTGCCCTGAGCTGGCACATTCCCCCTACACATGACTGGCAGCACCCAGAATTGGTAGAGTGTGGAAGTGACTTGGCTCAGAGCAGTCCAGGAGATGTGGGCACTTATCCTTTGTGCTGCATGCTGTGTTTCCAGTAATGAAGCCTAAGCTGGCGCAAACATTTTTGGCTCTAGGAACACACTGAAAGGCTTGCATCCTATTCTCCAAAAGTTCTGGCTCCTTTGCCATCTCCCTGTGTCCAGGATCCAGTTTCCATGTGCCTGTGCCGAGTATCTCGGTGGTTGAAGTGTTGAATCAGCGAATACTCGGGGCTTTCTTTGGATTTTGTTTCAGCCAGGAGGGTTGAGAGATACCCACTGGGATTGGTAGGTAGAGCAGAGAAAGGAGAGAGATCTCATGATACTGGGGTTCCAGGATCTGGGTATCTCAGTAATGTGATAGGGTGTCAAGAGGATGGAGAGGCAAGGAGGGACCAACCAGTCCCCTAGCTGTAACTGCAGAGCGCTTGTGCCTGCTGGACCAGCCTTCGGGTGGAGCGGTGTAGTGGTGCTCCATCCTCACCTTCTTCTCACCCTCCTTCACAGAGGCTCAGCACGCAGTGGAGAGCACACAACATTCATGCCACAACTGGGTCGTCATACTATTAGACCAGCACGGCTACCATCAGTTCAACTCTGAGCTCACTGTGCGACCCCAAGGTAGAGAAGAGTGTAATGCTCCAAATAAAGTCACGCGTCCCTCACAGTTTAATAGGGGATGGTCAGGGTGGTAGGAAGTTTTTCTCAAAGGTGAATTAGAGCCAAAGGAAAGCCAGTTAATCACAGAGCCAGTATCACTGAGCAGAGAGGGATGCTGTTCATTGGAGTGATCATCTTCAGCAGTCATTGTATATTGGTTTAATTTCCAAAATTCTAATATTGAAAAAGTATTTTAAGCACAATGAAATGAAACTACTAGGCCAGTGGGATTTCAGAGACCAGTAGAAGGGGTCCCCCTGCCAAATCTCCCTTCTAATGGCTCCCAGGTGCCCCAGATTCCTAAGTAAGAGGCAACTCTCGACACTCCAAAATTAGAAAGGTTCTTAAAAGTGTAAAATGCAGATTCACAGCCAACTCAACAAATTACTATAAGTGAGTCCCCAGGTGAGACCCAAGCTTATGGTCTTCAGCAAGCCGCCTTCCATCTGAAAAGTCACGAGAGAGAACAGACCCTTCTGGGGAGGAATAGGGTGGGGCGGGGGAGGCAGTCACGAAGCAGAGAACAGAAAGTATAAGGAAATACAATGTTAGCAGAGTGTTTGCAGTAGAAAGTACACCCGTGTTGTTCAGGCATGTAGTTGGTCCTCGGTGAATTACAAGCCAGGCTGGTCTACACAGACTTCTAGGCGATATAGTGATACCCTGTCTTAAAAACAAAGAGAAACCAAGACCTTTGTTAGCACTTACAAAATATCCAGTAGTTTTAGAACCTGACGGACTCTTACTCAAACTTCTTACAGAATTAGCGGAAGGAAAAACTTAAACTATGAATTGGCTAGCATGGTGCTTTAAATCCCAGCATTCAAGAGGCTGAGGCAGGAGAATTGAATTTGAGGCTAGCCTGCGCTAAAGAAGACCCTGTCTGTAGAACACACACAAAACCGTAAAATGCTTTTAAACGTTTGCAGATTCGCAGAAATAGAAAACAGTGCCTAACACTTTGAAAGAGACTCTCCTGTTCTTAGCTTAGCCTTAAGGAAAGATGCTGATCGCGTCTATTTTTAAATTTTAAACCACGCATTCTCTTACACCCAGCGACGCTTTCTTTGTAACGATGGAAAACCGAGGGATGGCTGAAGTTTCCGTTCTTAGCACAGCCATTGAAGAGAGGGGGTAAAGGCTGTGAAGCCTCGTTGCTTGTGTGACTTTAAATAACGCTACGGATTCTTTTCTCCCTGAAAGCAACTGGAGGGAGTACTGCCGTGACAGCGGCAACACCGCCAGAGGTACTAGAATGACTGTTTCCACGGGAGCCACGCTGGCTCATAGTACAAGCCGCCGTGTGCTCGCGAGCGGCTCCGGGTGGGCGACGCCGTGGAGTCGGCCTGACGTCCACTTCCGACCCCCGCTGGCAGCCGCGGACCCGATCGCGTGTGAAGACTCCGGAGGCGGCGAGAACCTGGGAGCATCCAGGCGCTGTGGCCGTGGTGGGAGCCGAGCGAGCGGCGCGTGGGAGGCTCGAGACCGCACCCCGCGCGCGCGCGCCCCTGCGCTCGCTCCCTGGCTCGCCCGCTCGCTCGCAACGGGCGGCACCACCCGCCGCGGATCCGCTCGGGGAGGCGCCGGTCACGTGGCGCCGTCACGTGGCCAGCAGCCCGACTGGCGGCGGCTGAGGGAGGCGGAGTCTCGGCCGAGACGCTGGGGGGGAGGCGGCGGCGACGGCGCCGAGGGGCTGCCGGAGGCGGAGGCGGAGAGGCACCGGGCCGCCGCCACGGCCGCTCGGGAGGTGAGGCTGCGCGGGGGTCTCCGGCCGTGAGGGCCCGGGCGGCGGGAAGCGGGCGGCGGGGGCCGGGCGGTGGGCGCGGCGGGAGCGGCCGGCCGGCGCGGGGCTCCTCATCGGACCCCCAGCTCTGGCGGCCCGCGCCTTGCTCGCTCGCTCGCCTTTTGTTCCGGCGTGCGAGGAGACGGGCCGACCGAGGAGCTCAGGCGTGTGTGTGTAAATCAGAAGGCGTTTGGCTTGGAGCCATTTTTTTTTTCTTCTCCTTAATTGTGGAGACAGAAAAAAAAAAAAATCCCTTCCAACGGTTTTCCCGGGGAGACTGGCTTCGCCGGCCGGGCCTCCCCTCCGTACCTCGTCTCTGCCGACCTCGGGGTCCCGGGGCGGCTCTCCCTTCCCTTTTCCCCCTTTCTGCCCTCCCCACCTTGAGCCAAGCCCCGCCAGGCAGCGGGTGAGCCGGGTGTCTGCAAAGCGGCCCGGTCACCTGTCGTGGCAGCTGCATGGCAATCCCGGCGCTTCTGCTGTCTGGAGCCTGTGCGGTTTCCTCTGGCAAAATCACGGAGATTCCGCTCCCAGCGCCAAGCCTTCCTCTTTGCCCCTGCGCCCCTCTAACCCAGCTCCTGATGCTGCCGCCAAGTTACACCGTGTTGGGGCAATTAGCAAGGAGGTGTCCACTTCTTTCCGTGGAGGCACCGCTGGCTTGGGAAGGTGAGGGCCATTGAGCTTTGTGGCTTGAATTGGGTGGAGGGGTTGACAGTTGTCAGTGGGGTTGATGTCACTTAGGGACCTCTTTCCACCTGCCTGCCTGCCCAGGTAATGCGAAAGTCAGGTTTAGACTTCTCCCTCTGGGGATAATCTGTTCCCTTGGGGGAGGGGATTGTTTTCAGGGTTTCTTTACTTGGGGACGCTCCTCTTTTAAAATTTTCTCTTTTCATTTACTTGTTTGTTTGTTTTCTTACTTATTTACTTATTGAGACGGTCTGTTTAACCCTGGCTGGCCTGGAACTCACTATGAGACCAGGCTGCCCTGATACTCAAAACCATTGCCTGCCTTTGCCTTCAGAGCTGAGATTAAGGGTTTGTGCCTCAACACCAGGCCCACCTCTGTTTTACAGTGGTCGAGCATTTTAAGGGCATTTCTTTAAGTCCTTGAAGGAGGTTCTAGGGGGGGAAATTGTTCCGAAGGTTTAGAGGAACGTAAAAACCATTCCGAGACCCTTTTATTTTAAATCTGCTTTCCAGTACCTGGAGTCTCCGCTCCTTGGTGGGAGTTTAGCTCTTGCAGGAATCCCACGGGGCAAGGTGCCTTGTTCCTGGAGAGTTCCCGTTTCTGCGCACATAACCATACTCCAATCCAGAAAACCCACGGGAAGACTTGTAGCTTTCAGAAGGGTGGCAGCTGGGAGCTGATAGAAAGTCATGTAGCGTGAGCTACATTCCAAATGGAAGTCACATGTGCCCTTTCCTGTGGTACTGTTGGAGAAATGATTGTATGAGCATTTATGAATAGCCACATCTAGTGTTTGCTTCCTCAATTAAAGAAGAGTAGTTTGTGTGAAAGAGTGACTAGATGAGAATTTCTTTAAAACATCAAGGGGAGTCTGTTTTAATAAGGGCTGTGAAAGTAGCAGCATTTCCAGGTGATGGGAGAGGTGTGGCCCTCCAGACTCAGACTTGGGAGGAAGTCATGTAGGGAAAAATACTTCCAGGCATGGAGGAAAGCCTTTCTTACCCACGTTCTGAGGAATGATAGTATATTTACTAAGCGTATTTTAAACACCTTAGAAACGATGAATGGGAATCATGTTGAACTTTCTTGTTTGCATATGGAGACATAAGAGATGCATTTAGTGATCCATAACTCTCCCTCCACCACTAACACTTCAGTGAATTTAACCTTTAAAAGGATGAATGATACATGAAACCAGCTTTTCTTTATTTTGTAATGAGTTTTTCCTTCCTTGTCCCCCTTTTATACCTCTCCTCTTTGTCTTTCTAGGTTTATTTTATGTGTTTGTGCCTGAGTGTGTGTATGTGCTGTCTGAAGCCAAAACAGGTGGTTGTGAGCCATCTGATGTGGATGCTGGGAACCAAACCCAGGTCCTCTGCAAGAGCAGCAGGTGCTCTTAGTGTGTTCACTTTAGTATGTTTTTATTATTACAACTACTACTAATAGTAGCAGAGATTATCATTATCATCATCTTTATTATTATTATTATTATTATTATTATTATTATTATTATTATTAGTTGTTTATGAAGAGAGTTTAAATCAAAGCATCCTCTGTTGGTGCTCAGATCCTAAGTAATGAAGCTTGGTGGAGATGCAACCCTTTTTCGAGCCAGAGTTCAGCCCTTTGGATAGTTATAGAACCAAATGTGAACACAGTTTTCTTTTTGAGTTTGCTGCAGGCTGGCTTCAGAAAGGTATTGGATGGCTCTTGTGAGTATGGATAAGGTAGGTGGCAATCAGTGGCTTCATGTGTTAAACAAATTCATAGCGTCCATTTTTCTCCTGTTTTCTGTAGAGGGGAAAGGTGAAGACCGTGGGAGTGGCCCCATGGTGCATTTGTTGGTAAAGTGCAGTTAAACATGGGTAAAGCCTCAGGATAAAATGCTGTGATGTAGTTAGTGCATTCCGTCCTGTTTGGGGCCTTTGAAGTCTGTTGGTCTCCCAGAGCTCATTTGCTCATACTGAGACTGTTGACACTGCATGGAATTTGAGAGAGCCTTGTCAGATCTTTCAGTTTGCCTGGGGCAATGTTAATTTAGTTACTACATTTTAACATGATTAAAATATTCTATGGTAAAGTATATGATAAAAGCTGGGATACCTTTTACTACTTCTGCCATTTTGAAAGTTCATTGGCATTAAGTACATTCATTGTTAAAAAAAAAACACTTACTGCTAAGTTTTCCAGTCTGGAGCCCATTAATCAAGAACTTTCTGTTTTTCCCTTCTCCTAACTTCTGCACCACCTCTTTGCTGCTGTGAAACTAACCACAATTAAAACCACAATAATTTTCCTTTTTTGACTGGCTTCTATCACTTAGCATGTTGTCCTCCACGCTTATCTGTATGTTACAATGTCAGAATTTCCTTTATTTTAAATATCTATATAGCAAAGAATGATATGAATGAAAAGATACGTGGGCAAACTAGAAAAATATGAGTGATATGTATGAAGTACTTCAATATGTGTTGGGCTGTAAAAACTCAGCCAAAGTCGAGCACCTAGAAAAAGGATATAAGGACGTGGGAAAGTCTTTTTTTTTTTTAAGTATTAACTTTATTATTAGCTATTATTATTTGTAGTGCTATTGGATATTGAACCCAGGATTGTAGCATGCGGGCCTGTAGGCCCTCAAGTTACCCAGGACCTTGAGCATTCTATAAGTTTTTTTATTTTTTTATCATGGAACAACATTTTAACCATTAAAAAAGGTAGGCACTAGTATACTCTGAAGCATTTTATCTCTCAGCTTTAGAATTATACAACATCCTTGGTCTTAATTTTAGGGTTACTTGTTTTTCTGTCATTGGATCGTTTAAAAGCAAATCAACTGCTTTGTAATTTTGTCTATATCTTAGTACAGCTCTAAAAAGATTTCTCACAATAAATATAATTATTTTTAAAAATAATTTCTGGGTTATCAAAATAGTTCAGTGGTAAAGGTGCTTAAAGCTAAGCTTGATGACATGAGTTTGATTCCTGGAATCCTCCTGGTGGAAGGGGAGAATTGACTCCTACAAGATGTCCTCTGACTACCACATGTGCTCTGCTTCCCCCGCCCCCCATTTCTGAGGAGGGTGTGACTCAACACTGAGAGTATTTGCCTAGAGTGTGAGAATTGCCTGGGTTTGATCTGGGATGCTTCAGAAAGAATACACACACACACTTAATATGTCAAATGTCCATTTATTACTCCCCGATTATGTTATGTGTTGTGATCTATGGTCTAAAGACAGGAACAGATTTAATTATGGAATCATCTACATATAGTTGTTTTAAGAACCAAATAAGGTCCACACACTGCAATTAAATAATTTGTTTAGCATTTTCCTCTCCTTCCCTTGCTTTACTGTCCTCTTCCCCCCTCCCCCCTCTGTCTTTTTGAGGCAGGGTCTCATTATGTACCCCTTAACTGTCCTGGAACTTGTTATTTACACCAGGTTGGCCTTGGACTTATGGTCATCATTCAGCCTCCCTAGTCCTGGAATTGCAGGTGTCTACGTGCCTGACTTTAAGTCTCTTTTATCCATAGGTTCTCCATCTTTTTTCTCTTTGTAAATTATATTGAGGAAACTGAGTTTTGCAAATTGTGTCCCTATAATGTTATGTACGTTGATTTGTTTCTTGTGTTTTCTGTGCATTGCTAGTGACTCCATGAGAAGAATGAGATCCAAACCCCTATGGATGCAAGAGACAATTATAATTTAGTATGGCAGCCTGAGCCTAGGACTAAGATGTCATTGTCAGCTTAATGTTGACAATTTAGACCCTAATTAATGCAAGTGAATTTGGTAAAATTAAAAATCAGTTATGTTGACAGTTTAGGCCTTATTAATGCAAGTGAATTTGATAAAATTTAAAATCAGTTACAGTATGGTATTACTGTGACTTCTATCCCTTTTGATAATTTGAATATTTGGACATCTGCCAGTGTGGAGTGTGAATAAGGATGATAGTAACGCACAGGACTGGTGCATATGAAGGAAAACGTGTTTACTCCTGGGTGCAGAAGAGGTTGAATTTATGTTTTCAGTCTGAAGTGCTGTTGTTAGCCATCTAATAAAAATACACAGTGTTTGACCTAGAATATCTACAATTAATAGGAATTTATCCTCTGAAATAATGAACACACACTCAGAATGAGAATAAAGAGAGTATGGGAATAGTTTTGCTGTCAGTTGGCATTCCACAGACATGGTACAGGATTGGGAAGAAATCACAGAGAGAGTTGGAATGCATTGATCTAAAGAAAGGAGAAGACAAGGAATTAGATACC